GATAGAATGCACGTTTTTTTTTATTTATAATACATATATATATATATATATATATATATGTAAATACGCATATATACTAAAATTCTTATAATTTTATTTTGGTTAATAATATTTTTATTATATTAAGAAATTTTTGTTTGGAATAAGATGGAAATGTATTGATATAATGATTATTCATATTATAATAATCATACAATATATTTCCACTTATTTAAATATTGGAGAATAAATAATATTTAATATTTTGCGCTGTCGTGGCAGTTGAAAGTAGTAAGTAACATTTGGGCTAAATTTTTCTATTGTATATTTTTTTTATATATTTTATATATTTTATAAACATATTATTATTTAATATGTAAATCTTAATAATTTTTTTACTATGATTTCTTTTCTATTCTCTTTTACTCTATAATAATAAAAATTATAGATTTTATATTTTATTAATAGATTTTATGTATTTTATTTATAGACAATTTTCAAATATTGTGTTTACATTTACATTATAAATTTTATATTTTTATTATTGTTTTGTGTTATTTAATGATTTTGCCTTATCTTTAATGGCTTTTTATAAATTTTGATATTTGCTTCCTTATATTAGTTATCCAATACATCAACAATACATCAATATAATTAAACATGTAAATAAATTTAAAAAAAAATTATAAAGAAAACAATTTTTATATTAATTTTACATAATATTTTATGATACATCATTGATGTAATTATATATAAAAATATTTTTATTATCAATATCTTTATTTTAAAAAAAGATATGTTATAATATGAAAAACTACATAAATTCATTAATTGTTAACAAAGGCAAGATAATTTGGTATTGGATAACATTCTAACTTGCGACGTCTGTGTCCCTGCAGATGGCTCGACTTTTTATGTAAACGATACACCGCGTGCAGGTAATGGAGATAACGCTAGTGTTGAAGATGAAAAAGCTCATCATGGTTCAGCGACGCTTCCTGGTGGATGTAGTTTGGGATCAACTCATAGTGCTGCAGCAATGAAATTTCCATCCGAAGAAGGATCCGAATGTTCTAGTGTTACAAGCGAAAGCGGACCTGGTAGTAGGGGGCAAGCACACACATGTCACAATAGTAATAATGCTGCACTTAGTCTCAAATCTATTTTCTCAGAGCTACAAGAACATAGAGAAAATCTGGAAAGAATGAAAGATAAATTAGAAGGTTTAAAGGTTTGTTTTTAATGATTAAAAACTAAAGAACAATTAAGAAATTTGAATAAATAATAATTATGTTTACAATTTTATCAATTTCATCATTTAATTTTAGAGTTTACAACAAGAAGTGACATATCTTTCTCATGCTTTACAAGAGGAACGTTTTAGATGTGAGCGTCTAGAAGAACAAATTAATGATTTGACTGAGCTGCATCAAAATGAAGTAGAAAATTTGAAACAGACTATAACAGATATGGAAGAAAAAGTGCAATATCAAAGTGAAGATCGTTTAAGAGATATACATGAAATGTTGGAAAGTTGTCAAACTAAAATTTGTAAAATGGAACATCAACAACAGCAACACCAACAATATGTTACTTTAGAGGGTTTGGATAATAGTAATGCAAGAGCCTTGGTTGTAAAGCTTATAAATGTGGTATTGACTGTGTTGCAAGTTATTCTACTTCTTGTTGCAACAGGTGCTGGTATAATGATGCCTTTTCTTAGGACTAGGTACAGTTATTTCATATTATAAATTATTTATTATTTTTATTTTTCAGAGAATAAATAATTAAATAAATTATTTAATATATAATAATCTGTTAAAATATATTTATTTCAGCTTAAAATCTTCATAAAACATATAATTTAATACATATAATTTAATTCAAGATATATAATTTATTTATTTCTTTTTTTCGGATCATTCTTAACTTTTTTTACTTTATATACATCTCATTTCATACTTCATCACGTACATTGCCATCTGATTTTAATTTCGCACACTCATTGTTTTATTTTGTTTTCACATCTCTGTTGCAGTTGTACTAAGCCTCATTGTTTCATGTGCAGGGTGCGCATATTAACTACTACGCTTGTTGTATTGGGCATAGTATTTGTGCTCAAACAATGGCCTGAGGTTCACGACGTCGGCAGTCACCTCATGCGCCATCTTAAACAGACGCTCGCTGTTAAGTAGCACATTGTAAGTAAATAATTACTATTTTAAAAATTGGAAATGTTTTATAAAAATTCGTGAAATTTATATAATTTAATATTTTATTAATTTAAAATAAATAAAATTTATTTTAGGGTTATTCTAGGGTATATTTAAATTAATCATACCCTGTAATGAAGAAAAATTGTACACAACATTTTGGACCTATTTATGTGCTGTAGTTTTGGAGCAATAATAGTAGGTATATGCGCAAATGATTTTATTTATATTTTAAATTCGATATTCACCATTACTATATTAAATCAGATGAATGATCAAATCTATTTGATACTGTTAACAGAATTACAATACATAAAACATATTTTGCTGTGCAAAAATGTTTCACTTATGAAGGAGAGATTTTCTAGAGATGATAAATGCAAAATATCATTTATCTTTTGTGCAAGTATTATAAATTTATTTACAATCTTTTTATTTTTATTTGAGCAATTTTAAAAAAGAAAAAATAAAGAGAAATATACGTATTTACTATTTAATATTACTTGCGCGCGAATAAAATAAAAACGATTATAATTTAAAATAAAATAAAATAAAATAATTTCTATAAAGTATAAGAAAAAGACAGTAATAATAATGCTGTACACTGATATTGCTTGATTACATACGGCACATTATTAGAAGAATTTACTCTAATATCGTGCGATTAAATTCATTTTTACATGAATCATTGATTAATATGAAATTTAAAAAAAATTATTGAACAAGAGAAAGTACTGATTAAAAGATAAATAAAAATTGTTCTATTATTAGTGTCTGTGGGAGGTGCTACTATCATTTTCAGGATTGTAATTCATAAATTCGATATTCTAGTAATTAATTTCTAATAATTGCAAAAATTATAAATACACTTTAAATAAAATATTTGTAATTAAAATCGTCCAATTGTTAAAGAATAGTATAAATTAAAAAAACAATAGAATATTTAGATAATTGTAGATATTCTTTATTTCAAAATATATCATTATAAAATATATAATATATTCTTTAATATCGACAATGAAATGGTTTAATTTGAATTGTATAACTGCATCACTTATATATAATTTAAATATATTCATGAGAATATAAAAACAAGAAAACTATTTGAACAAACATTTATATAATATTTAAAAGAGGACCAACATTTTTTTTCTTCTTATTCTATAATGTTGATTTATTTCATATAAAAAAATACGTCTTTGGAAATAAATAGCATCATTTATTATGTTTAATAATCTTAAATCAATATTTCAAACCACCACAGACACAAATATGCGTGCATATTATATTGAATATAAAGAAATGAACCATGACACAGATGTTGAAATGAGAGAAAGACTGATGGATTACATCGCTGTTACAATTGTGAGTAATATGATACTTGTGGCAATTTTATATTGCTATTCATTGAAAAAGTGTTGAAACGGTAAAAGGATTGAAAAGAAAAAAAAGAAAAATAAAAAAAAAACCACCATAATTAAAATAGTACAATTATATGAAGAAAAATGATTCTTAAATTAATATAGGTGCTCAAATCTACGAGTGTATAAAATATTTTGGTTTATATAATTTTTTGATTTTATTGTCGTTATTGGCAAAATGTCATTTATTTCATTAATTTTGTAATTTTTGATTTCCTCAAGTACAGTGTCATGAATTATCATAAGATTTAACAGTTCAATTATTTTATGCATATAAAGAAAGGCAAACAAAGAAATTATTTTTTGGTAATAAATATTATCTTTTTATCGTTTAATATGTAAAGTTTTCTTTATATATAAATAATACATATAATTTCTAATATGTATTAAATTCGAATATTAGCATTTTTATTATTTGTATATGTTGAATTATGTAATATTATCGTTTCGCTGACCATTAAAAAAAATTATGAGAACTCGTTATTAATCGATAGATAAAATCTGTAAATAAAATAAACTTTCCGTATTTCATTTTTTTTATGCCTGTTATTCGTGAATACAACATCAAATTTCCTATTTTTTTATTTAAGACTATAATTCTTCAAAAAAATGCTATTTACATATATATATATATATTATTATCATTCTTTATATTTTATTGTTACAATCACTTTTATAATATTTGTTAAACATAATTTTTATAATATTTATGTATGCGAATACTGCCAAGAATATAATATAAAAGATAAAATTTAATAATTTACAAAAGATACAAAAACTATATAATTAAAATTTTATATACATATTGAAGATCAAAAGAAAAAGGAAGTTTGATCGTGTATTTATAACTTCATCAGGCAAGATTTTATATTTCAATATATCGCGTATATTCTTTTTTATTTTCTCAAATTGACTTTCTTTATAAATGTATTTTAAAAATTTATTCAATATTAAATTTATTAATAACTATAATAATGTTTCCTTCGAATCCTCTTGCGTTCCTAAAAATAGTTTTTTATGTCTATAAATTTATAAATACGTCGCTGTGACTATACTAAGTTTATAATAAAAGCGTATAAGTTAAAAATCAGTTTTGGGATCAATATAATTATATGTACAAAATTTTGAAACAATTTTCTGTCTGTATTTATACTAAAATTCACAAAAAAAAAAAATAATTATAATGATTGAGAATAATAATATTTCGAAAATAATGTATATATTTGTTTATATTAATTCTATTGGATTCGATATTATATTGATTCTGTAAAAAGATTTCTAATTTTACGTTGTTTGAATCAAATTTTGATTAAAAATATATGCTTATTATTGTGTAAGTGACAACTAGACAAAATATATAGGGTGTTCAGTAATGCGCTTATATATTACTACAATTATCACCGCTGCATAACTTTTTTTTGATTAATTGTTATTTATTATTAATTAACAATATTTATCTTTAAAAGTTATATGTATAAGCAAATGATGAAGAAATATAAAATGTAAGAATTGTACGTCCGATTCCCTATTTGTAGTTATATATTAAACAAACACCCTATATGTATTGTATAGCTTTAGATCGTGGTGCTTTGTAAGATACACGTATAATCCAATTATTAGAGAATTTGTTAACGTTATCGACCACTGATTTAGCGAGGGCCCCTATTTGCACGTTTACAAGAACGTTTACATAGTAATATTTGGACGTAAAACAGAAAAAGAAAAAATTAAATCAATATATATATAGATATAAAAGAATATTATAAATATATAAATATTTATATAAACAAAAAATTACAACAAAACATGCCAAACAACGATGGACATATTTTGTATCTTACATTTTTCTATAAGTTTTTCTTTTTATCGTGGCTATTTACAATTTTATATGTATTTTGTATTAACAAAGCTTCACGAAAAAATGTAAAGAATTAAATAAGTTGCGACAAAATTAATATAATTCTGGAATTTAATAATCATTGCTCATGTCTCTTGTAATTTTAGGGGCCCGCTATAAAGTTATAGTTTAGGGAAAAAAATAATTTTAAAAATAAATATATTATCATTGATGCCTTGCCTAGGTAGTTAATGTCAAATTATAGATTAAATATTTGTTGTCAATTGTAGAATGATGTAGAAAATAGGAACAGCGATTATAATGGAAATTGTTATCACGCTAGGCAGCATACACATGCATATATATGTATATTATGCATACACGTGAATACATATGTATTAGTTGCATAACAAGTCAGTGTAATAATGTAGTTTAAAGACATAAATAAGTTTATGTCTTTAAAAAAATCAACATACGTGCATAATGCCCGTATTATGTTATTGCTGCTAAATATCAATTTCAAAATCAATATAAATTTAGCAGCTCTTGTCATTAACATTATTATTTAATACCGTTTCGAAATAAAAAAAATTTTTAATAAAATTGAAATTTTCTTTGACCTTATTATGAATAATTTGTTACTATATTTCAGAGTTAAAATATGTAATAAATAAAAAAATTTTAACACAATGTGCATTTAGGTATATAAAATTAAAAAATAACACTAGTAATTGTAAAGTTTTTTATATTTTTTCAAGAAGATTTGTCAATAATAATATTACAATCACAATTTTACAAATAATGTAATCACTTTATTATTATATATCACAATTTCTACTATGTATAATGCTGAAAGCTGTTTTTGTTTAAAAGAGAACTGCAGAGATGCCACAAGAATATAATGTTAAAGGTGATTATATAATTTTAGACATTTTTATATATAAATTTTAAAAATTATATTATTAATGAAATAACCACCATTTCATAGCATTTCTTTGCAGTAAAAGTAGCTATCAGCCTTTAATTCGATAAATAATATTTTAATGTTTTATTGGTATTAATAAGAAAATATTTTATTTTCCTTATGATAATCATATTTTTTACTACATAGTTAATAGACGTTGCATTAGATTGCTTTTTTTGTGATGTTTATAACAAGTTATAATGCACACAGAACATAAAATGTAAATTCTCATGTGATAATTAAAACGAATGATTTTTCTAATATACTTTAATATGTTGTAAATAAATAACGTGTTAATATAATACACGTTGCATTTTTTTTTAGAACAATGTTAATGAATAAATAATAAATTGATTTATCTCAATTTTATTTTGTATGTTCAAAAATTATTAAATAATTTAAGTTTTTTGTAAAAATAAACATAGATATTATTTGATCAGAAATTTAAATTACATAATGTACTCCTATTAAATTTCTAAAATATATCATTGAAAAAATTTATTATCACAAGCTAGAAAATAAATTCTATAATGCAAATACATACATTGATTGTAAAAGCTTGTAAATAATATTTATCGTTATTATAACTTAAAATTCATAATATTTTATAGTTCAATAACAATAATTATTGATTATCGAAAGATTCTAGAGCAAAACAAATTGCAAATAAAAAAAGTAGATATTTTAAAAATAGCAACATATTTCGGTAAAATATATACCGATATAAAAAAGACGATAATGTAAATAATTATTTAATTTTATTTTCTATACCTATAAGTGACTTTAGAAAACATTATCTCTTGCAAAGAATTCTCGAAAATATATTCTTTGTGTGTATACAATTTAACGTATAATATGCTACAGTAAAGGAATACATCGTGGTGACTAATGCCGCTTCCTATAAAATGCAGACTTGATATTTTATTTTCTATCGTGCATTGTTGATATTTATTTCGATATTTCCCAATATTTGATTATAGGTTTCAATCTGCAGTAATTTGAATTCCTTCTTGAGAATCTCGAAGTACAATTTCTGCTGGTAAAATATTTTTCATTTCATTTTTACGAGGAACTGGTTCATCCTTTTGCACAGGAGGTGCACCATGGTGTTTTTTTTTATGACACATCATAGTTGATCTCGATACAAATGTTTTACCGCATGCATCACATTCATATGGTCGTTCTCCAGTATGTAATCTTTTGTGAATGGCCATAGGAGTAAATTGTGTAAATGTTTTACCACATACATCACATCTGTAAGGCCGTTCTCCGGTATGCAATCTTCTGTGACATCTTAATGCTGCTCTTCTGGCAAATACTTTTCCACACATATCGCATTTAAAGCTTTTTTCTCCTGTGTGCATTGTCGAATGAATTTTGAGATCAACTCTTGTTAAAAATCCTTTACCACAAACTTCACATAAATATGGTTTTTCACCAGTGTGAATACGTAAATGCGTGTTAAGATAACTTTTACTAACGAACATTTTATTGCATACCACACATGGATATTGGCGATTATCCATACCCGAATGAATTTTTTGATGACTTTTACAAAGTCCTTTAGTTATAAAACCTCTACCACAAATTTCGCAAACATATGGTTTAACACCAAGATGTCTGTTTTGATGATCCAATAAAGATTGTTTTGTTTTAAAATGCTGTCCACAAGTATTACATGGAAAAGGTTTTAAATCTGAATGTACTCTTTGATGAAGAACCAGATAACTTTTAGACTGAAAACCTTTACCACATGTAGAACAATTGTAATCAAATTGACCTGTATGTGTGGCCGTATGTTGTGCAAGTCCAATTTTACTACGAAATGCTTTTTCACAAGTTACACATTGAAAAGGCTTTTCACCAGTATGTTTCCGCATATGTTCTTGTAGTTTATAATTTGTTCTGTATTGTTTTCCACAATGAGCACAAACTTTTGGAGTCCATTTTTGTCTCACAGTTGCTTGTTTCTTTTCTTCTATATTTATGTCATTTTGAGAAGACGCTAATTCCGATTCCATAACTTCTTTTTCTTTGTTAATTGTTTTATTTTTATGTATATCACATCTTTCTTTATGTACATTTAAGGCATCTACACTTGTAAAATATAAACCACATGGACAGCAACAAAAGTATTGTTCAAAATGTGCTATCATATTATTTGAACCTAATGTTGCTTCATTACAAAATGGACATACATACCAATGTGAACCTGTTTCATCAATTGTAGGATTATTTAATGTTGTTTCTAATAATGCATGCTTAGTTCTTTTTGTATATTCTACTAAAATTTCTGAACTTCCAGTTGTTACTTGACTTGTTGATGCTATATTATTTGTTTGTGTAGTCGTATGTCTAGGAGTTTCACTTTCAACTATACGTGTTTCTTCTATATCACTATTGGTTTCTGGTTGAGCAGAAGTAAAATTTTCATGTGGTACCTACAAGTTAAAATTACTCATTGAAGAAAATATTAACTATTTTTTTTTTTTTTTTATTTTCTAATTCAATTTCAGCTACTTACATTAGTTTCAAGTACATTTGTAGGATCTTCTGCAGTTAATCTATCCTGCAACCTATGATATTCTTGTTTTATTGGTACTGATTCATATTTTACACTGTCACAATAATGTACAATTGGTTCTCGACTCTGATCTTCAGGATTTATTGAAGTAACATAATTTATTCCTAACTGACTTAAATGACCACTCACAGTTAAATTTCCAACTACAGTCATATCACCTTCCAAATGCATCGCTATTTGATGATTAGACACCTGTAATGAGAAAATATATTTAAGTAGCATTTATTATTACATATTTAGAAATTATTTAGAATAAAAACATTATTATAATATAGTACAATTTATTTCAGCAAGCATATTAGGTTTATTTGTTCATTTACTTCTCGTATATGTTCATCCACCATTCTAGCAGTATCTCCATCTAAACAGTCGATACCAGTAACCTCAATATCAGTATCCTGTTGACCCATTTCTTCTTGAGTAACAACTTGTTCACTAGCTGCCAAATCTATTTCATCTATAACTTGCATAGTATGTATAGTAGGTTCTTCTGTTTCTTGAGAAGTTACATGATTTTGTACATTTTCAATATTGTTTTGTATTCTACTAATATTTCTTTGAATCCTATTCATTTCTTCTACTTCTTCTAAATCCTGTTTTGATATATGAACAACTTCGTTTTTGGCAATTTCTTTTAACATTTCCATAAACATTCCTTCAGTATGTAAACATTTTTCACGAAAATCAAACAACTGATCTAATTTATAAGCACATTCTTCACATACCACTTTTGGTAATTGATCAGTCATAGACACCTAAAAATAATTAATCAATTAATAAAATTAATATTTTTTTTCAAAAAATATATTAAGTGGCATTACAATCTTCAGATTTTAAAAGTAATTGTACATGCTTAAAATTAATGCAGAACATGATCCTTGTTATAAAAACATCGTGAAACCTTGCACCAATTTTCTTCCTCTATTTATAGTTAAATTAGGAAGAGGGGGTGAAGACAGAGCACTGAAGATTGCAGTGAAATTGGACCTCTACCGTTTGTGTATGATTTTACCTGCACTGGCAAACACGCGGCTATTTTCTTGTCAATGTTGCGCATTTGATCGCCGGCTTCGAAGATTGGTAATCCCATTAGAATACCTGTTTTAGTCGCACATAAACGACATAAGTAATCAAATTCCTCAACGACGGCCATATCAACAGAACGAAGAGGATCGTCTTGTTGCCAGATTAAACGAATGACCCGAAGAACCGATTAGAACGATTTTACTTTGAAATCCAACGGCAAAGATTTTTTACGTGATTTAAAAAACTTATGTCACGCATTACGACATTTCTTAATTTGCCACCTGCAGATCTTCAATTTAAAATTTTTCTACTTTTTAAAAATGCATTATCCAGGGATATTTGTCAAGTGAGTCTGCGTCCACACCATCGAGGAGTCTTTTACAATCAGTCGTGGCATCCGTAGCGGGGGAATTAACTTGTAGTGCTCTCTTTTCATCTAAAAAGAATCTGTTTTGTAGATGGCGCGCAAAACATTCTTTTGATCGATTTATCGAAGATCGAAAGATATTTACTTACACTTATTTTTAAACAATTCATTTTTATTATAGAAAGTTTATTTAAATTTATGTGATTTTATAATAATTAAAATTTAAGAACAAAAAATTAAAATCAAATATATATGACTTAACTTTACAAATATCTTTACTCATATTATAAAATTTATTATGTAAATTTTAAAATCTATAAAGTTTAAAAATATAGAACATATATAAAATATATAAAATATACATGAGAAAAAAAAAATATATATATATATAAATAAAAAAAATGTATGTAGAATTTGATATGATATATATAGAAACATAAAGTACAGAGAAAATACAAAATAATACAATTTTTAGCTCGTATCTATATCTATATTTTTTTATTATTAAAGATTATAATATTAAAAATTAAGGCATATTGTAATTTTGTAAAAAAAAAATGATAAAAGTATATTGAATTAACATTTCGACATTATTTGTGATCAGATGCCAAGATCAAATATAGACAAAGAAAGCAAACAATAGAAAGAAGATAAAAATAGATTAAAAATTAAGAAATTAGCGCCATCTTCAGAGTGCCGCAAATGAAACACATAAACAAAAAGAGAAAATGTTAGAAGAAGATAAAGATAGAATAAGAATTGATCTTTAACGCCATCTTTTGAATATCAAAAATATTTCTCTACGGTAGAAATAATAAAATAAAGAATTGAGAATTAACGCCATCTTTGAAAAATGTTTTTAGAAAAATATTTTTGCTATGTATATATATATATATGTATGTGTATATGTAATTCGCTTGCATTGAAATACATATGCTAAAAATTACATCTATTGAAATACTGTTTTGTTTATTACACGTGTACACGTGTTTTTAAATATATATAAAATAGAAATCTCTAATTTTTATATAAGTATGTTACAAGTTCATCAGTTCATAAAAATAATTTGCTTTAATTGCTAATAAAAATGGCGACAAATCAATCAGGAATTCAACAAAAACGAAAATTAATGATAGAGCAAAATAATTCAGATGAAGAAATTAACAGTAAGTATTTATAATCAAATTTTATATAAATTAATTATTATTGACTTTAAATTTATTTTATAAAAATAAAATGTCAAAATTTATTATTTATATGTTTGAATTTTAAGGTTAGCTAATCTTTCTTTTATTATATCAATCTATGTGATAAATAATATATATTTTATTATTATAAGTAAAAATGTTTATTATTTGTAAATGTAAATTATTATTTTGATATTCATAGATTTTTCAAATTACAGAAATATAATTATATCAAATATTGATTTTATTATCAAATATTATTTATAACCTAAAAATCGTAAAATATATCATAATTATCTTTTTTAATTGCAGAAAGAATTAAGATTACTAAAATAAATTCAGAACCTCCACGATTATGTCCTTATTTAGATACAATAAATCGCCAATTTTTAGACTTTGATTTTGAAAAATTATGTTCAGTATCATTGTCAAGAATTAATGTATATGCTTGTCTTGTATGTGGAAAATATTTTCAAGGTAGAGGTACTAATACTCATGCATATACGCATAGTGTGGCTGAGAGCCATCACGTTTTTCTAAATCTTCATACATTAAAATTTTATTGTTTACCTGATAACTATGAAATTATTGGTAAGAAAATATTATTATGACATATTATTATATATTTGTTTACTAAAAATCAATATTATTTCTTAATAATTATCAGATTCATCATTGGATGACATAAAATATGTTTTAAATCCAACATTTGATAAAGCACAAATTGCACAATTAGATAAAAGTGATAAATTATCAAGAGCCATAGATGGTTCATTATATTCCCCTGGTATTGTGGGAATGAATAATATTAAAGCAAATGATTACTGTAATGTGATTCTACAAGTGAGTTATTTTTAAGTATTTTTAATCAGATACATAGATTCATAATAATTTCAATGATTTTAGGCACTTTCTCATGTTACACCTTTAAGAGACTTTTTTTTAAGAGAATCTAATTATTCTCATGTAAAAAGACCACCTGGAGATTCTTCTTATCTTTTAGTTCAACGATTTGGAGAATTAATGAGAAAGTTATGGAATCCACGTAATTTTAAAGCTCATGTTAGTCCACATGAAATGTTGCAGGCTGTTGTTTTATGGAGTAAAAAAAGATTTCAATTTACTGAACAAGGTAAAAAATAGATCATATTATTATACAGTTATACTACAAAATAAATTATAATAAAAATTTTATTGTTTTTCATTATTAATTATTGAAAATAAAATTTTTAGGTGATCCAATTGATTTTCTTTCATGGTTTCTAAATGCTCTTCATTTAGCATTAAATGGTACAAAAAAACGTGATTCTAGTATAGTATATAAAACATTTTTGGGTCATATGAGAATATACACACGAAAAATACCACCATTAGAATTAGAAGAAAGTCAAAGAAGTGAATTGCTTCATACTGTAGAATATGGTGAAACAGTAACAGAAAGTCCATTTTTATATCTAACATGTGATCTTCCACCACCACCTCTTTTTAAAGATCAATTTACTGAAAATATTATTCCCCAAGTAAGTAGATTATAAATTTTGATTATTACAAATATTATAAAATACATTTTTTTTAAATAGGTTAATTTGTACACATTATTAAATAAATTTAATGCTATAACAGAAAAAGAATATAAAACTTATAAAGAAAATTTTATGAAAAGATTTGAGATAACAGAACTCCCTCCTTATCTTATACTTTACATAAAAGTAAGTATAATATTGTATTGTAGATTATTTAATTTTATTTAATAAAAAATTATTAAAATAATTATAAATAATTATTTATAATTTGTTACATAGAGGTTTACAAAAAATACATTCTTTGTAGAAAAAAATCCTACCATAGTTAATTTTCCAGTTAAGTAAGTAACAGAAAATTACAATATTATTTTATTAATATATATGAATAATGATCATATCAATTAATTAATTTAAAATTTAAAAATATATTTTCTTTATTTCTTTATTCTTTTAAAGAAATGTAGATTTTGGAGATATTTTAACATCTGAAGTGAAACAAAAACATCCATATACAACATATGATTTAGTTGCAAATATAGTTCATGATGGTGAACCTGGTCAGGGAACGTATAGAGTTCATATTTTACATAGAGCAACTGGTCAATGGTATGAGTTACAAGATTTACATGTAACTCAAATTTTGCCTCAAATGATAACTTTAACTGAAGCATATATACAAGTGTGTATTCAATAAAATATTTTCACAAATATTTTTAAATAAGAATTTATAAATCTTCTTTTTCAGATTTATGAATTAAAAAAAGATATATATACAGAAAATGGTGACAATAAAAATAAGAAGACGATGTGATAAATGTAATTTTTTAAATAAAATATTACAATTTTTCACTTTTCCTAATTTCATATTTCTTATTCCTATTTTATTAAAAAATTTAACTTTCAAAACTTTATAATTTGTAATACATTTAAACTAAAAAATTCTTTGCGCAATTTATAATATAATTTATATATATATATATATGAACTTAAAACGTAAGTATACATAAAATCACAATTTATTAATACTATAATTTCAAAATACTATATTTTGAAATTTACGTCATTCTTTATGAAATAATAATAATTTTATTAACACAATTATCGTAAATTTGATTTAAATTAAAAAAAAAACGTAAAAAATAACCCTATTTATTAAGATTGATTTTGCGATCCTACGATCGCGTCGAAAATTGCCGAACTTTACCGAGAAGATCGGAAGTACAAACTGGAAGTAGAAGTCGTGACATTGGTGGGGAGAATCGTGGTTGGTGGGGATTGGAGTGTCGCGCCGAAGCCGAAGCGAACCGGAGTAGAGTCACAGCCGGCCACGCGAGACGGTCATGAGCGAACGTTTTTCACGGTTCGCGGTTTTTCTATCTTTTTTCCGTCGTGCTTTATTTTTCGGAGTATATCGAGACGTGTTTCATATATTATTCGGAAACGCGCTAGTGATATTGACGTTTCTCTATACCTAGTCATAATTCATTTTCGCGAGTGTTTTTTGCTTGTGTGTACATTGTGTTGCTCAGTGTGTTCTCAGCACGTGGATTATTGCTAGTAGGAGCAACTCTTGCTTATATTGTGAGTACACGTTTTATACAAAAACTTTCTGAAAAAGTTCATCGAGCGTCCTCATACGTACAGTACTGGTTTACGAATTATGCGAGTTTATAAATATTCGCGATATATAATCATTGGTAGGCGCGATGCGTATTTAAGAATGTTTGAAAACAAATAGTAATTGCGATAACGGTTTTATTTTATCCGATTGGCACCTGACGGAGAATCTCTATCTTCTCGAAAGTATTCCCGCGTAAAACTTTTCAGTATTCAATAGTCTTATATTATATATTATTAAATGAGTAGAACTTCAATAGTTCGAGGTAAAAATACGGAATCTACATATTGATATTAATTTGCTTGGTTACAGTTTGGTAGGCATGGTTCACGATAATTTCGATTTGTGTCGGCATTTTGCCAATATGCGCTATTTTCCTGTAACCGCTCCGAATACCTGTTTCATACGAATCTCAAAAAAACTGTTTGATTGCGTGGCCTCTGTGGCGAAGAGGCGAGTTTGAATGTTGCTCAAAAAAAAGAGGGGAGTACGTTGACTCTTGAAGAAGCTGCGAGTTTCGGATTCCTAGCATCTCGCTTGGTAATCGTTGCATCGTGTAAACCAGTTTCCGCGTGTGAGGATTCTCAATGACATATCGAAAGTATGACAATCGATTGTATAATGCAATCGCCATTTTTTAAATATTGCGTTTCGATATGTCATAAATAGAACTATTAGAATTATAAATTTATTATTAGTATAAAATATAATACGACATTTATTATTTTTAATCATTTTTTTAAAAATTTTTTTAAATATTATAATGTGAAGTGTATTGTTTAATTTGATTTTATTATTAATGTTAATTATTTAATTATTTTAATTTTTAAAATCACAATAAAGAATTGTAGGCGCAAAATAAACATGGCGACCATTAAAATACAGGTACATACAAGTATATATTAATAATAAGTATATATAATAATGATAAGTATATATTTTTTTTTCGAAAATATTTTACATTTAACAAATATTACGACAATAAATATTAATGTTAAATATTATAAAAGTTAGAATTTTTTACGATGGTAATAATTAAAATTTATTTTAAATATAATATATATAATATTATTTTTGATATTCGTTAAATTGGAATATTATTTTTCTTTTACAATATTTACATTAATCATCACATCTATTATATCTATTATATTTTATTATATTTGTATCTATCTATTATACTATCTATTATCTATAATTCATGTTGTTGGTTATTCATAAAGATGAAATATATTTTGAAAAAGCAACAAAATAGTCAAATAGGAGATAAAAATCATGATAATTACAAATTCGCGATATTTGTAAATTAAAGATGAGATTTTTCGAATTACAAAGAATGTCAACGACATGCTATAAAATGTTTCAAACGTATATAGTATCCTAGCAGAAATGCATGTCGTATGATGCATTGTTTCGTTTTTTTTTTTAAATCCTTTATAGTCTCTCACGTTCTGTGTATCTAATATGTCAGCATCCCCGCATGTATTAGTCTAGTATATTAAAAAAAAAAATATATATATATATATATTAGCAAGAAAATTCGTTTTTTTTCACATTTTTTTTAAGTTAGCAAACTTATTCGTGATCCGTTTATGGATGTAAAAACGTGTCAAGGATGGAGATCATGGTTATATTCATCTACGAGAAATATCCTTGAGGCACTTAAATATCGATTGAGGATAGAGGAGTGCGTTGTCAAACACTTCCTGTTAAAACAATTTGAATATGCGTAGCCATAACACATCTATTTTATTGTTTTTGTGAATTATTTTATATATATTTTATCTTTTTGAGTAGCAATATTTTTTTTTTTAAATAATAATTATGATATTAATATCATTTCTCATTTCAGTATATTTAAGAGGATTTCTATTTTTGTGATAATTCTTAAATTTTTTTTTTTCTAAATTTTAGAAAAAACATCATACAATAATCTAATCCATTTAAGATAGATTAATTTATTTTATTAATATATAAATTGCACAGGAAAACTGTTTATTTTGAAATTAAAATTTTGTAGATTAATTTATAGAATTATTATAGCATTTTGATATTTTTATTGTTAATTATATTAATAAAAAAATATTAATTTGCAATATAATAATGCAATTTTTTAATAATAAATTTAATTTTTAATGAAAATTAATATCTAATTCGTGATTAACAATCGAGATAATATTTGAGACAAACAAATTCTCCTTTTTAGTTTTTCATAGTGAAATTGATTGAAAGAATATCTTATTTCTAAATAATTCAAAAGAGAACGACTATATTTTTGGAAGTGATAGAAGATATTGAATATTTAATCTAGCATGCTTTGTCAATGTGATTCTTGAACTTATTAGAATACTGGCTGAGATCACTGTTGAATGTTCAATTGCCTCGAGGTATATTTTTTCTTATGTAAGTTAGACAAAATTACTTAACATGTTTCTATCTATAAAAGTCGAATCTATACATAATTTATTCATTGTCAAGAAATAACAGAATTCATCGCATATTTTATTCAAGAATATTTTTTCCTCGAAAACAAACTCTTATTTCTAAATCTTTTCATTTTCAAATTAGTTTTTCATGGATAATTATCTGAATTACTCGTATACGTGAAAAAAAATGGTTTGCGTAATATAAATGATAGGTAATAAATGATTTCCGTTTTCTTCGGAAACGGAAAGATTACAGAAAATTCAGAATTAAAATGCCATTTTCTAATCAACATAAAATAACATAAAATATCTATCATTTGATACAGATTAATCTCGATAATAAAAAAAAAAAAATCTCATAACATAGCTAAGATTTTGACACGATCGAAAGAAAAGTGGAAAGGAAACGATCGATCGAAGAAAATTCGCATGACGTTGACACGGGAGAGGCACAATTAAAGAAAAAGAAAGTTCGTAGCCGGATTAAACGAGGGATCTCTTCTTTTCTTCCATTCATCGCCGATTCCATAGTTAGAGGAGGAGCACGATTGTTTTCCCTCGATGCAGGAAGTCCCTCGAACTGTGAAAAATAAATCCACAACGGAGAAAGTCACGGGTTTTGTCGTTGTCTCTCGTCTCGTGGTGTTCTGATTCTCTCTTGCCCACGTTGGATACGTTGGTATAGTGTGTCACAAAGAGGTTGTTCGCTCTTTACGTGCAGGTAGACAGAAGAAAGAGAAGAGACTAGCTCGAGGAGCAGCAGGTGCCCAGCTGTTACGTGGTGTAACACCTATGCACATCTGCCTGTGGGCGAACGATTAAGGCTACAGTGGAGTTTGTCGTTTGGCGAATTGGGTTACATTGGTCACGTTCTCGTGGAGATTATGAGGTTTTCTCTGAGGCAAGCCGCAGAGAACCCTCCGTATCTTTGAAACAGTTAGAAGTCGATGGTCCGATTAGAATTCCATTGTGCACTATCGCTCGTCTGACCGTGACTTGAACGATGTTGCCTTTGTTCTCGAATCGGGTTTATAGTTGTTAAATTTCTCAGTAAATAAAGAAGGATTTTGAAGGGATTTTTATAGAGGAATTTATAAAAATTTTAATAGAAATTTTTAATTCGATGGATGGAATCGGATGGATCTGGAATTGCTAGAAAACGATCTTTTACTTTTGAAACAGCTGAGAAAACGAGAAAATTTTCGTTTTAACATAATATATTAAGAGAAAATGAGAAAGAGATGATAGAAATTTAACAAGAAGATATAATTTATTTATCAATTAATCAATTTTTAAACAGATTCGCGCGTTTTTCTATGTACAATTAGTCTCTTTGTGATGTATTCATGGAAATGTTGGAATGTCTTCATCGGTAGCCTCTATATTAAGCCGTCTAGCGTGTTCAACGTCGTCAAGACTCGTTCTGCCAGCTTTGAATCTTTGGATGTAATGATAGACGTACTCTCTAATTCTAGAGAGTGATGGCTGAATATTTCCTCTCTGAATATTATCTCTCGACATTTTCTTTTTATGAAAAGAGAATTACATCAGTTTTGATTTACTCCTTCCTTAATTGCGAATTGAACGTGTGCAAAAATTACCGAGAAATTATTTAATTAAGCCTCCTTAAGAAATTCACGTCACTTAACGTATCATGAAATAAATTGAAGTTTCAGATGGATTAAAACGAACCTTAATATTCGTCAACATTTGAAGATAAAAATTCTTGAATTCTTCGTAAAGAATTCTTGCGAGATCAAAAAAAAAATCAAAGTTAAATTCCACGAATAAGGAAATAAATGCAT